TTCTATTTATCAGGTCCTTGTTTGGGTTTATTTTGTGGTTGCTTTTTACTTCTTGAGTACAATTGTTTATATTCTTTTTTGCTTGTTAATACAAATATTAATTACAATGCTTATAAATATTTAAGGCTCTGAATTTTCATATGAATACTACTTTAGCTCTACCTCACAGATTCCAGTATCAGTCAGAGCTTTTCATCAAAGCTCTTTTTCACATATATTTTCTACAGTTTGGGCTTTAATGGCCTCTTTGTACCGTAAACTATTGAAGAGGAAGGTTTTCTGGCAAGCAGGGTGCTTTCCATTTTATTCATCATTTCTACCATAATTGTTTTGTGGTACATAATGTAATTGGTAATTCCTGCTTATTTGAAATTACCTATACTTTCTTATGTCCTAGTAGATTGACAATCTTTATAAATGGCTTTTGGGCATTAAAATATGGAATATTGTCTTTTTTTAAATTTTGCTTTGTTTTGTTTTGTTTGAGACAGGGTCTCAACTTTGTAGCCCCATCTGACCTAGAACTCACTACATAGACCATCCCAGGCTAGCCTCAATCTCACAGAGTGCTGGGATTAAAGGTGTGCACCACTACACCTGGCAGAATATTGTCTTTAAGTGTGCAGCCTAGTGACTGTCCATTAGATCTACATTATTACTTACACAATAGAGATCTTCTCTGCCCTATGTTAGTTCATCTGATGTGATTTGTCTCATACTATCCACACCTCTCTTTACTATTCTGTTATTTTTGCTTTGAATATTTTTATTATTCTCAACCCCTGAATGCTCATGACTTGGGTTTTCACTATGAATTATATTTTCTTTCACTCAAGCAGCCATTCTGTGATTCATTTAAGGTTTTTGGCCTTGAAGCCCAGCTGGCTCAAAACTAAGATTGAGCCTTTCTCCCTTCACCTGATTTCATTTGCTGTCTATCTTTGTCATTACAATCTAACTGTGTGTCTTCTGCATATGGCATGGAGTTAGGTTTTGTCCTGAGATGTGATCTTAGCTTTTTTAAAAAATCAAATGAATTTAACCCATTTATATTTATTGAAATTATAGGTAGGTTTTATCTTAGTTCTGCTAAGTTCTGCTTAGTTTTTGCTTCCAGTAGCTGTCATGTGTGTGTTATATGCCCCTTGTCAATTTTATAAACCTATTTTCTCCCTAATCCTCTTTGAATATTAATTTCCAGTTATTTTGCTTCCTCAATCCTCTTTCCATGTCTCATTCTTTTTTTTCCAGCAGTGGCTAATCTTTGTGCTACCTTAGTAAAACTGTCATTTCTTTGATATTTTCATTTTTCTCCTTGCTTTTGACCTCTGTGAACTCAGGCTTTGTCATGACACCTGTCTGCTGCTTTGCCATGTGTCCCAGGACTCACTCAGTTCTGCCACGTTTTCCTTGACTGTACTGAGTTGTTTTTCACTTAATTGTCATCTGCTCAGTGAGTATTCATCATTCTTCCACTTCTGGCCTATTTTACAGCTCTTAAGCTGTTTTCATTATTATTCCCAATTTCCAGTTTTGAATAAAATGAGGCTTTTGTAAATCATATAGCTGCAAGATAGTTGAGGATAGGACATTAATTAGGAGGGGAGAGGAGAGGAGAGAGAGAAAACTTTTTTTTTTAATTTCTCAGTATCTTTGATATTTAAGGTAATTTCTAAAAGGAGTATAGAAGAATGCGGTGATCCATTGCTCCCTTATCTTAAAAGCAGAGATTCTACATCTCTAGTAAAATCAGACCTGCCTTAACAGCTGAATATCTCAAGGCCTTGAGAGCTACTTGTGATTGATCCAGGGCCATACCACTTAGTGAGGACAAACTAGCAGTCACGTGCCAGAATTCAACACACTGAATGATGTCTTACAAATATAATATAAATAGAAGTCCCAGCTCTCCTTTGTCCATAAAGAGTGGTGGGGGCGGGGTTTGCTCTATTGCTTTAGTAAGATCTACTTACATATGGTGGCCTGATCGATGATAGAGAAACACGGTGAATAAACCAAAGAGAAGAGGAAGAAGAAGAGGGTCAGTATTCACTTGCTCCAGACTTGAGATTTTTATGGCATGTTTCCTTCAGTCTTCACAAACATTCTGATGGGGCATTGTTACCATGTTGACACATGAAGAAACTGAGCTAGGAGAGCCCTAGTAACATCTCAGAGTTACCAGTTAGCAAGTGCTGGTACTCAGCTTCAGTCATCTCCCAGCTATGTCTTTGTGCCTCCTGACCCCCCATATTAGCTCAGTGCCTCAACTACAACTTGGGGGTTCTGTAAAGATCATATCAAAAGGTCCACAAAAGGGAATCACAGTTGTTTTGTTTGCATCTTTCAAGCCTGTAACACTGTTACTTTCCGTGCACTAAACCGCTACTTCTCTGAGCAGCTTTCATTAGCACACCCAACACTTAACCCAGCATGTTTTCAGCCTGCAGTTTGTAGCCATTAATTAGTTCCTATGAGGTAAGTCTTTGTTATCTCATTTTACAGATGAGGCAGCCAGTGTGGAGGGAGACTAAGTAGATTTTGCAGTATCAGCTGTAGGTTCAGAAGGGAGAGCAGAGACTGGACCCCTTCAGCCCAAGCTCAGCCTACCACACAAGGACCCTGATGAAGTCACCAGCTGGCTTCAGTACCTGCACTGTGAAAAGATACTGGGAGGCTGCAAATGTAGCTTAGTTGGTAGAGTGCCCACCTAGCATGCACTGAATCCCTGGATTCAATCCCAAGCACTATGTAACAACAACAAACACAAACAGGCATGGTGGCATAAGCCTTGTAATCCCAGCATTTGGGAGGTGGAGACAGGGATCAGGAATCCAAGGTCAGCTTCAACTACATAGCAAGTTCAAGGCCAGCCTGGGATCCTTGAAACTCTGTCTTTAAAAAACAGATGCTGCATCTCAATCTAGAATGTTATAAACATGGTAAGTAATGAAGAAAGGAAAAGTTAAATTAAGAATTTGCAGTCATGATGTTGTTTTCAGCAAAACATCCCAGACCAGGAAACTGAGGCCATTTTAGCTAAGAATTGTGAATAACAGTATTTCCTTTATAAAATACTACATCAAGAATGCTAGGGAGAAGGAACCAACTTATTTGGGGAGGGCTCTCCAGCAGGAGAAAATGAATTGTATTGCCATTTGTTCTTTTGGCTGTTTTTAGTTTAACCAAGAGATAGCCCTTTTAGAGTACATAAATAGACAAACACACAAAATATTGCTGTGGTTTTAAAAAGTAGGTGGGAGGAGAGGATACAAATTTTAAATACACAGATACATACCTTTAAAAAGTCCTATGTTGGCCAGGCATGATGGTGCATGCCTTTAATCCCAGCACTCGGGAGGCAGAGGTAGGCAGATCTCTGTGCGTTCAAGGCCGGCCTGGTCTACATAGTGAGTTCCAGGACAGCTGGGGCTACAGGGAGACCCTGTCTCAAAAAGGCCAAAAAACCCAAAACAAAAGAAAACAAAAACTCCTATGTTGGGGCTGGGGAGATGGCTCCACAATTAAGAGCATCTGGCTCCACAGTTAAGAGTACTGGCTGCTCTTGCAGAAGACCTAGATTTAATTCCCAGTGCCCACATGGTGGCTAACAACCATCCGTAACTCTAGTTCTAGGGGATCTGACACCCTCTTCTTACCTCCACAGGCATTGCACGGCATGGGTGCACTTATACACATGCAGACAATACACTCATACACTTTAAAAAAATAAATAAATAAAATAATTAAAAGTTCTATGGTTGAAAACTTGTGTTTTGCAAATAAATAGTCTCAAATCTGTTCCACTGGGATCCCATCATTATTGGAGAATTAATTTTTCTTGTTGAATGACATTTTCATAAATTGAATTTTTATGTAAAAGGGAGATGTACACAGTATGTAGATAGTGTCTCAACACCTTCTTTATGCATGTGAAGCCCATTATTTCCAGTGATAACTCTGTTGACAGCACCCACAAATAAATTTAGAGCTGGGGTTTTATAAAGGGGATCCAGAATCATATGACTTAGACTCAGCTCCTGACACGTGTCAGCGCTGATAGATGCTACATTTTCTGTTTTAAAGACTCAAACAAAACTTTTCACATTCTTCTTTGAAGAAAAAAAAATTACATTTGAAGTCCTTTTTCACCCGAACACATTTGGAGATAAGCGCTCACAAGTCCTGACATTATTTCATTTTGTTATGCGCATCTGTCAAGGAACCCAGATATGATACAGCTGCTAAAAACGGATGATTGTGGAACAGAGAAACCTGACAGCATTCATTTCCTTTATGTTCTCATTATACATTTATCAGAAAACCTGTATCTCTTCTAGTTCTGCTAGAAATTGGTAGAATTCAGGAATTCAAAGGCTGAGCAAAGAACTGCCCTATTATTTGGTATCATCTTACGTTTTAGAGAAGTTGCTTGGTTGGGTCATTGTTACAGCTTTGGCTTCTCTTTTCATTATTGTGGTCCACTATCCACAGATCACATTTCTATGGGCCCGATGACTGCTTTGCCGCACAAATTAAACGCCGGGATATTTCATAGAAGCCAGCATTTCAATGCTTGTCAATCAGAGTTTGTAAAATATAAGGATTACAACCTGATATTAACATCCAAATCTATTGTGCTCATTTTATGCGCGAAAATGAGAAACCTTCGTGCAGACGCTCCGTTTCCCAGCCCCTTTGTCCCCGTTTTTTAATTTATCTCTGGGTTTTGAGTCAGTAAAATGATTTTGCTTATCAATGTAATAGAGTGATAAAACATATCTGGGAATCAAAGCGATCAGAAGTAAAGTGGATCTCCAAGTTGTTGGGCATTCAGCCCTGCCTTGTGGAGGGCTTTAGTGGGCCAGATCCCCCCCACTCAGTACTCATATGCCTGTGTTCTAATTGCGCCTATAGCGAGTGCTCTGAGAGGTGTGTTGCCTCAGAGAGGACTTTCAAACTTCTAATCATCTTTTTTCCTCTGTTTTCCTATTTCACAGGTATATTTCAAAAGGAATTATCCAGATATTGCATTCACCAGCCCTGTGGTTATGAATGCCTCCAACAGACAGCCCTCAGCCTTAACCATTTTTGAAACAGCATTGTGACTCTATCAAGATGTTGGGTCTGTTCCAAGGGCATTTCCCATGATTTTTGCACTGTATGTAAACTACATTGTACTTGGTTTTCACTGAAGCAACAGACATTTTCAAACACAAGATGTTAGTTTCCAACTCTATTCAGGGATTCCAAGTTCAAACAAAATGGCTTGTCATTTTCATTTAAATATTACAGCTTTTCTTTAAAAATCGAAATCAATGGTGCAGGCCACCAACAAAAGCTATCTATCAGGTTTTGTGCCTTAACAGACTCCAGAGCCAAAGCCTACTCATTTTGTGAGGAACAGAAGAAAGCTGTCACGGATTTTTGTTTTGTCCTTGTTTTGTCCTTTAAAAGTACATATTACTTTCCAGTTACATCAGGGATTCTATTTACTTGAAGATCATGTGAAGCTGCCACTTTGTCTCACCATTTTCATTAAAACTAGGACCCATTATTTCCCCCAAAATACCTTGGGTTAAAATAGTACAGGTTGGGGCTGGAGATATGGCTCAGCGGTTAAAAGCATTGCCTGCTCTTGCAGAGGACCAGGGTTTGATTCCCAGCACCCACATGGCAGCTTCTAACCATCCTTAACTCCAGTTCTAGGGGAATCTGACGCCCTCTTCTGACCTCTGAGGCATTGCATGACACGGGTGCACTCACATCCGTGCAGGCAATACACTCATACGCATAAAATAAAAAAAATAAAATATTTTAAAATAGTGCAGGTAAATCTAACAGGAAAAAAATTGTAATTTTAGTGATGGAGTAGGGAGAGTCTACCACACACACATACAAATACATATGGCTAAAGTACAGAAGGACATTTATATAGTAGAAGAAAAGGAAGAGAAAATTATGCTTTCTCAAACTTGGATTGGTGGTTTGATAATGAAGGACACGTGTGAATATCCCTCCCCTTTCAAGTCTGTCAGGGTCAGGCATGAAACCATGTATGAACTTGGCATGGTGATATATTCGAAAAGGCAAACCTCTAACAGTAACTCCTCAGATGTGTGGTAGTGTTTTTACTTGGATTTCTGGTTTACAGAAGGTAAACCTTCTATTCACGATAAGCCTTTTGGTTTAACCTTTTTTGAAATCCTTTCAAATTTGCATGCATAGGCTCTCCTTACTTAGTGAGAAAACCTGAAAATTGTTGCAGACATTGGCTGTAATTACATATAATGGTCTCAGGATGCATCCAGAAACTCACTTTCATGAACCTGTCCGGATGAGTTTACTTCTGACCGCTAATAGTAGGTCTTGAAGTCCTTTTGATTAGTAAAACACTAAACCACAACACTTCCTAGGACCTGCTGTCCTTCATTTAACTATGAGTCAAGTTTTTCTAGATGGTGGCGGCTATGGCATACGTTGAGTTCAAGTAACTAAAGGTTTTACTGTCACAGTTTAAAGTGGACCCTTCAGGACTTGTCACAATAAGCCACCTTCAAGTTACATATGTTAATATATATGCACACACACATAGGTGCATATGTATGTATATGTACATATATAAATGCCTATATGTGTATATATACATATATCAGGTTTTTAGACTCAACAGAAAAAAAACCTGTTTTGTAGAATGAAGCCTCGAAAAGCACAGCAAAACACATTGAGTGTAGTGGCTGTTTGACTCTTTGTATTCTGAAGTCTACAATGAATGTTTAGTCTCATTTTGTGCACTAAGTTTATTAATAGTCATGGTTAGTATTCCAAGAGACTGAATGCAAGCAACAATAATGATGATAAAGTCTGTTTGAATATTTAGAAATGTTTTAAATGTATATATGTTTATTTGGTTTTTAGAGATTAAAGACAGCCATATAAACATGTTTCTATTCCATTTCTGTTTTTACACCATCATAGGACAAACAATATTTGATTGAAATAAATGACAGTTTTCATCTCCATTCAAGGATCTGTATGTTTATTCTTGGAGGGATTACTAACTGAGTCATGTCCTTGCTGATGAAAGCTTTTGTGAGATCAAAACATACCTTCCATCACCAGCTGTTTCTCTTGGCTACTTAGGCATCTGAGTCGAAGTGTGGGTTGCAGTCAGCCTGAAACAGTTGCTGCTGAAATTGTGGAGTAAGTGGGAGTATTAGCTTACGCCCCTAGGCTTGAACAAGTATTAAAGGGTTGAGGTTTTGATTTTAGTTTTCAAGGTGGCTTTGTCCTAAACTAACAGGAAAAATCTATTAGCATTACACTTTAAAACACTATTGAATATTGGTTCTCAGCATGTCAACCTTGAGTCAATAGTTTTACCTGGGAACTTGTGAAAGGTGCGGATTCTTGTGCCTCACTTGTATCTACTAGAACTGAACCTCTGGTGGTGAGGATCAGTAATCCAAATCTGATCAAGCCCTAATAGTGATCATAGTGATTCGAATGCAGAATAAAGTCTCAGAACTAGTTCTATAGAACCTAAAGAACTCCTAAAACTCCTTATGAAAATCTCAGAGTCCAGAGAAATGAGCAAGAAACTTGAACAGGGACTTCACCGAAAAGGATATCCAAATGGCCAGTAATAGAAAAAAAGTGTTCCCTTTTACTTAGTGTAGGCATATGCACTAAGAGATGTAGTCAGGGGTGTTCTTGTTAGGAACATAATTCCTAATATGTCTGGGAATAACTGAAATGCTTCACAGCAGAAGGTAGTTGGTGGTAGAATACAGCAAATGAAAGCAATTAAAGTGCATGAGGGGGTGTATGGATGTCACAAAAATGATACTGCTCCAAAGTCTGACTCAAGAATTCTTACGGTTCCTGGGACTGGAGAGATGACTCAGCGGTTAAGAGTACTGACTGCTCTTGCAGAGGACCCGGGGTTCGATTCCCAGCACCCACATGGCGGCTACAAACCATCCTTAACTCCAGTTCCAGGGGAATCCGAAGCCCTCTTCTGACCTCTGCAGCATTGCACAACTCACATACATGCAGGCAATACACTCATACACATAAAATAAAAAAGTATTTTTTTAAAAAGAATTCTTGCGGGGCATGGTGGTGCACACCTTTAATCCCAGTACTTGGGAGGCAGAGGCAAGCAGATCTTTGTGAGTTCAAGGCCAGCCTGGTCTACATGTCCAATTCTAAACCAGGGTACATAGCAAGACCCTGTCAACAACAACAACCAAAAAGCCATTAGAATGGCAAAAGTAAGCTTATGGTTCCACATCTGCAGCGGAATTATCATGTACAAAGCTTAGTACTACTTAACTTGGGAAACTGTTAGTATAGTTTTGGACTGGCTAGTGTCTAAAAACACTACTAGGTTTTTCATGTTTTCTGGGCACTTTTATATGTCATGCTTCACAAGTGAGTTAATAAAGTTCTTATTAATTTTCTTTTAGAATTTCAAATTCAGTGCTTCAGTCTTGTGAAAAATAATGTGCCTGAATATTCTAAAACTGAATCATTTACATCTGGAAAATTATTTCTACTGTTTTTTATTTATAAAGAATAAAGGTTTATTAGCTCTCAGTATTTCCATTGAATTTAGACCTCCTCCCCATCTGCACCCCTCTTACTACTTCCTGTTAAGTTTCATGTTCTCTCTCTCTCTCTCTCTCTCTCTCTCTCTCTCTCTCTCTCCCTCCCCCTCCCCCTCCCTCTCCCCCCCCCCAGTGTGGGTCCATTCACTAGAGCCTGGTTAACATACCCAGCATCACACCTTTAAAGAAAGCTGATTCTCCCTCTTCTCCACTTTTATGCTGTGATTTTTGTCTGTCTTGCACTGATGCTGTGATTTTGTCTGAATTGAGTTTACATAGGTCTTGTGTATGCTGCCACTGTTGCTGTGAGTTCATATGAGTAACTGCCCATCTGTCTGGAAAACTCGTTTCCTTGTCATCCACCACCTTTTTCTCTTCCTGTCTTCTTGGTCCCTCTCCTACCATGATCACTGAGCCTTGGGAGGCAGAATAGGTGTCCTACTCAAGACTAAGTACTCTTCAGTCTCTTAGTCTCTGTACATTGACTAGCTGTGAGTCTGTGTTAACCATCATCTGTATAAGGAAGTTTCCCTGGTGATAGTTGATACTCATTAATCTATGAGTAAACAGTAAATCATTAGGAGTTAGTTTAACACTACATCCATTTAGCAGAATAATAGTAGTAGGTTCTCCCCTGTGGCCTGTGACCCATCTAGCCACAGGATCCTAGACCTATCAGTGTCAGCTATGGGTCCCATCTTGTGAAGCAGACCTTAAATCCCTTCAAAGAGTGGTTGGCTACTCCCATAACATTCATGTCACTATTACACCAGTGGACATATTTTGCCAGCCAGTTGTTATTGTAGCTCACAAGCATCATAGCTGGGCAAGCTTGATGATTACTTTTCTCTTCTGGTAGCATGCATAGCACCTTCCAGTACTTGAATCAGTATCAGCTTTATTTCTCCTTGTTTTTTCTACAACTCAGTGTATGTAGTGTCTTCAGCAATAAGGTCTTACTGTAAAGCCCTGACCAAGAGCAAGGGTTATGGCCTGTACTGTTTGAGGGTCTGTGGGACCCCTGATCAACAGCTTCAAAAGAGGGAGTCCATTCCTGGCATTGGGCTCTTTATTTGCTAGCCGATGGTGTCTAGTAGGGGCAGTGTCCCCCTCTTATAGGGTGACTCCTTTCAATCTCCTTTTTGTATGCAGATATACTTTAAGAAGCTTCTGTAGTAGTAGTTTCCATATGACTTTTTCTAAAGGCCTTTAGTGTTAGTTATCCCTCCCCATACTCTGTACTCCTTCCTCTGACCTGCCCTCCCATTCCCTACCCCATTTAACCCTTTCACATTATTCCTCCTTTCCCCTTTATATCACTGCATTATATCTCCCCTCCCATGAAGCCTCCTCCACATGCTGTTTACAACTTTACTGATCTCTTTGGATGAGTATTTTCATAGCATTAATCCTACCTCTCCATGAACATGGGAAATCTTTCCATTTCTAGTATCTTCTTCAGTTTCTTTCTTGAATATTTGTCTTAAAATTTTTATTATGGTGGACTCTCACTTCCTTCACTGGATTTATTCCAAGGTATTTTATGATTTTTGAGGTTATTATGAATGAGATTATTTCCCTGGTTTCTTTTTCTCAGCTTGTGTATAGAAAAGCTGCTGACTTTGTGTGAAAATTTTGTATCCTGTTCCTTCGCTGAATGTGTTTATCATCTCTAGGAGTTTTCTGGTGGAGTCTTTATAGAATCTTTTATGTATAGTCTCACATCATCTGTAAATAGCGATACTTTGACTTCATTCTTTCCACTTTATAACCCCTTTATCGCCATCACTTGTCTTATTGCTCTATTTAAAACTCTAAGCACAATATTGAACAGGAATGGAGAGAGTGGAGATCTTTATCTCATTCCTGATTTTTAATGGAAATTCTTTGACCTTTTTCTCTGTTTTGTATGATGTTGGTTGTGGGCTTGCTGTAGATTGCCTTTATTATGTTGAGATATGTCCCCTGTATCCTTAGATTCTCCATAACTTTTATCATGAAGGGTTGTTAGATTTTGTCAAAGGCTTTCTGTATTTCATGATTTCTTTCCTTGAGTCTATTTATGTGATGAATTCCATTCATTGATTTATGTATATTGAACC